AGGACAAAGTTTACGAGAACTGCATTGCAATGTAATGCTCGTAGGCAGGTCAACTTTCACTCCTCGAATCACTGCAACGGCTTACTACGAGCATCTCGCCGGAAAAGACCAACTTATTAACAATCTGGTAGTACTTTCGAGTTTGGTGAAAAGGACGAGTTTGATCTATCCACTCCAGTCTGGTTGGCGGAGGGAGGAGATGAGCTTCCAGGAGGAGACCAATGTGATCCGGACGGCGTCAGGTTCTTGAAGAAGCTGTTTTAATGGAAGGCCGAAGTGAGAACATTGGCTTATTTGTTACCGCTCTCTAGACAAACACCTTTACCAGCTTTTATCACTCGTGTCCACTTCATCATAGAACTTTGCTTTGTCCAATTAAGACGCATTATCGAAGGTATGAAGACCAAGAGGGTGTGGCCTTTTGTGTGGTCGCGAAGACAGGGTCAAACAACTTCTAAGATGCATTATTTCTATCTTTGAAGCATTATCAACCCGGAACACCTGAGATGGAGCGAAATCCTCAAATGTGTGACCAATAATGCTAAAAGGAGGTGGACATTTGTGAATGCGATTGTGTTTTCTCTCTTCTGTAACTTGAATTGAACAACAAAGAGAGCAAAAGTTTATTAATTAAGGCATGCTTTTTGACAACTTCCTGTACAGTTCTAGTTACACTTGCTTGCATCGGTGCTGCTGAGAAGATGGCCCGATCTCAATACAGAATAAATTCAACACGAAGCGCCCCTACAGCGAGAGCATAGGCCGCCCATATGGGAAATACTACTGATCCCATGTGAGTAGTAGATTTATAAAAGCTATCATGGGGATAGTGAATTCGGAGAAAAACCTCTCATCTCAATCTGTAATGGAGACGTGTAGTGGAGGGCTCTTCTCAGCAATGGCGAGCCGTCGTTGTCCAACTTGCTCAGGGGCTGTATTTGGCGCCCAGTCGGATTTTTGGGACAAGACAAATATAGGAAAAAACCGGACGACTAAGACTGTGCGTAGGTTGGCCAGACACGGCATTGGGCAAGTCTGGCCAGACAACTGCAGAAGGAGTTGCTGTGGCTCAGACGTGAACTTGGGTTAGAAAGCTGTGCCGAGCGGAGAAAAGGTAGAATTTGGGGAAAAATGGAAGTGGAAAGGACCAATCCGAAGGGAGTAAGGGCAACTGCTGCCTGATCAAATGGGCGTGAATACTTGCAGAGTAGTAGACTGAGGGCCAATGAGGGCTGAGACAATGCGGAGGGAGCAAGTCCATACCGCCAAATCATCTTCGCAGACGGAATCCAGAGCAGTCCAGCCTACAGAAGCGCATCATGCGTGCTCGAGGCTCTCAGTAACTTAGTCAGCCGAGGTGAATTGGGGCGAACTTAGCGACAGATCGTTGAGTTTTCCCAAAATGACATAAGCACGCCTCAATCGGCCATTTAGGTTCACCTGACCTGACCTCCCAAAGAGCCATCTCGTCCATTCTGGATCGCAATTTCGACCTCGCCTCGTCACCACTCCCAATGGTATTCGATTCTGGATCGTGGGTTCCGTGGTTCACAGAGCAAATGGGGCGTTCAGGGCAAGTCGCATTTTCCCGGTCGGATCGCCGATTATATTCTCGGAATCTACTTATACTGGAAATAAGTAGCATCATCGATTATTGTGGCAAATGCATGTTCGTTTAGTTTGCAATAACAGCGCAACTCGGGTCACCCATGGCCGCTTGAGGTACCGTAGGAGCACTAGAAGTTCCAAGTATTTTCCATCCTGAACGTCTTGAACTATACCCATAGCTGGACATTCGGGGCACGGGTCGTTGCTGAGAGTTATGATTTCTTCTCTCATGACAAGTTATATGGCTTCTGAGAAGGCTGGCCATGTTGGTATTATCGGTGGTTGGGGCGAGTTCTCTGGAGGATTGCAAATCGTCGTGCTGCTTCTTAGACGGGGTTGTAACGTTTTGAAGGAAGACTAAGAGAACCAAACGGCCCCTCTGCGTGCGGGCGCCAGACGACTCAAAGCTCAATTGGTACCACGAACGGTGTGGGCAGGCGAATCTTCTCTGCTTCCTCTTGCCAACTTGCAAGTCATGCTGCCGGACTGTCGAGGAGGTTGTCGCGGCTCAAGCTCATGACGTGTTTGAGGCTCAATTTAGAGTATTGTTTGGTGCTTGGACAGACACATGCCGGCATTGGCATTTGTTTGGCCGACGATGAATTGCAAAGAATACACTCTTGTGCCAGAACAATCGCACAATGGCGTTTATTCTGGGCGTAGGTTCTCTTCAATTCGTTGTGGGCAGACCAATTGTGGCAGTCTTCAAGTACCCACCCGTCTATGGTGTGTCATCAACGAGCTGCCTTCCTACCCCACCTCAGTCCCGCTGTGGGATCCAAACTGAAAGGGAACCCGCATTTTGGTTTCATGCTGACGTCCCAGTGTTTCTGCATTCCGGATCCTCAGCTATTTTTGGTTAAGGTCAATTACGACTTTTATGGGTCCTTTCAGCCCACAATTTAACTAAGGCCGAGGGTTCGCAGTTTCTACCGGCGTGACTTTGAAAACTACGTATTTCAAGGGTCCACATGTCTCGGATGCTCTACCCAACCGACGAGAAAACACAAGATCGGAGGAACATGGAACTTTAATGGATCACGAATCGAAGCCAGAGAGCCAAGTCACGAGGTACAGTGAGGCTCAATGTGGAAGATGAGTCCGACTCTTTCGAGCCTTCGTGACTAGCTCAACTGGTAGCCACACGCAAGTGCGCATGAAGAAAGATAGATCCGCCCAGTCAGCCAAAAGCTGCCGGATAGAGCCAATTAGGTACCGAATTGGACTACGATTAGGCCAAGCCCTAATTAACTGACTGGAAACAGGCCTGGACGAACTAACAAGAAGTGAATAAGCGAGAAATGCGTTCATTTGCTCATTAGAATGTAGAAATGTTAAATCAATTTATTTGTTTAGAGATTGTTTGACCTTGTTTTCGCAACTTGGTCATTTTGGTAGGAAGACTTAGAGGAACGCATCTTGTCCGTAGTCCATTGTATGCATCATCATTTCCAAAGTTGAACCTTGGATGTGGTACATTCCCATTCGTTACGCCCGCATCGTCAGTGAGTATCGCCATTCTTAACACCATACCATAAGAACGTCCACGGTTCCACTTTGGAAATGATGATGCATACAATGGACTCCGGACTAGGTGAGTTGCTCTAAGTCGTCCTACCAACATGACCGAGTTGCGAATACAAGGTCAAACAACTTGTATAGAACGAAAGGAGACTACGAACACACAAAAGTCCAT